CTCTTTGCACCGCCTCGGTTACAGCGCGCTATATAAACAGTCGAGACGATTCGGTCGGAGATATCCTGCCATAAAGAAATTGTCTTCAGAAAACCCAGTTGACTTCGACACTGGTACCCCAGTCCGCTTCTAAGCACTGGCTTCGACTATATCGGCTCGGGTCGCAACCGATAAAGATTAGTCCTACTTAACCAAAACCCAGTTATCCTAACGATGGTACACGATTCATTTCATTTTCGGCTCGAAGGATAAAACCAAATACTTTGACATTAGTTTTGAATCCAGTTCGGAAAAATGTTTAAGAAAAAATACTTGGACATAATATTCAAGGGATAAAGCCATCCAGGCATGTCTTACAAAAAAAAAAAAAAAAAAAAAAAAAAAAAAAAAAAAAAAGAGAACAAAAAAGACATCTCGGGATCAGATCGAATCTTGGTTAACCGGCGAAACTTGAGCTACCTCGGTACCTCGGTTCGAACCGGACTGGTCGGCAACACCCAGCGCCGCTGCGGCACCTTCGATCGAACGATTTCCGAAGCTGTCATCGACAGAATCCGGGGAAACCGGAGGAAGCTTCAAGTCCTCTCGCAGCTCGGTCCCAAGACGGACGTACTCGTCCTCGGCGCTCCCATATTCAGCAGTCCACTGAAGGACCTCGGCCTTCTCGTCTTCAACCCTCTTTCCTTCCTCCAGCTCGGCTATCAGCTCGGCATTGGCCCGCGCTTGCACCAAGTACATATAGCGCGTGGACACCTCCCCGAACTGGTCCATCTTCGCCTCGATAGCCCTGACCTTCTCGGCGAACTCCCTTTTTGCTGCCCTCCTTTCTCTGACAATCTCCTTCTCCCGGAGAGCCTTCTCCTCGTTGAATAACCGATGGAGTCGTTCGACCTCGGCCTCAAGCTTTCTCTGAGTCCGCAAGCTATCCTCAGATGCTTTCAATCGCTCCACCTTCTCGGCCTTGGCCAACGCCTCAGCCTCCTGTTTAGCCGCGATCGCCTCGGACAATTCAGCCTCGATCTTAGCTCGTGACGCCTCCGATCTCTCACGGGCCAGCTCGGACTTCCGAGCTCCAGAATCATAGGCCCGAACCATGGAATTCATCGAATGGAAGGCCTGAAATAGAACGAGAATTATTAGCAAGTATTACATGGAAACGATAGTAAAACAGGTCAAGAACAGATCGGTAATACCTTCAAGAACCCGGCAGCGGTTTCACGGTAGTTTTGAGCCTCCAACAAGGCATCGGGAGCAGACAGTGGCGGCCCGGAGCAAGAAGCGACAAAGTTCGCCGAAGCAATCTTATCCTTGTACACTGGAGTTTCGCTACGACTCCTTTTCTCCTTCCTAGAGACTCCCGAGCCATCACCTCGGGGTCTTTTCCCCCTAGTTTTGGATTTTGCCTCGGCGACTGGAGCAGCAACGACCAGAGTCCCTACCGCCTCGGGGACGTCGGTCGTAGGGGAGATGTGTCCGACCACCTCGGGAACAATCGGAACCATGTCCCGAGATACATCAGTTGCCTCGGCATCCATGACGACCTCAAGGTTGGCCTCGGGAGGAGTAGGAGGTCTGAAGTTTGCCTCCAAAACGGCTTTTTCCTTAGCCGCCTTCTTTTCAGCAGCCTTCCTGGCTCTCAGAGATTGCGCGGCTCCTTGCATTTCGATGAGGTGATCTAAACGATGGTCGGATGACTCTGAAGAAGACTGGCAGGGAGCTCCGTGCGACAAACGCAAGGCTCTCTCAATCCTTTCCTGGGAAAAGTGCTTCGTCCAATCACACTTCCGAGCTATTAGTTCGTCGTGGAGGTCTAGAAAGCCTTCGGGAATGTCTTCGAGAAACGACGGGTTCCGATCTGCATGAACAAGAGAAACGGTTAGTAAAGAGAATATAAAGAACAAGACAACAAATACAGCTTCGGGCGTAGTACCGATTTGTCTCCACTTTCCAACAACTTTCCCTAAGTAGTCCTCGTGGACACTATACTCATTCAAGGCTACAAAGAAGAAATGGTCGGTATATTTTTCATCCTTGCTCGGGAAACCGCCGATAACCCTCCTATTTGGCCTCGGAGATATGTAAAATCTCTCAACGGGGCCCGGTATTCGCCGGATCTCTAAGAGATTCCTTAAGTGGCTTAGGTCAACCAGGTTGACCGTCTCAATACTTCGGACTAAAATCCCCACTAGATGCCGCAAGCCTCGGGTCGTTATCTGAGATAAAGCGATCTTGTACGACCACAGAAACGCCAAAATCGGCCTCGGGATTGGAAGCCAAAGGAAGCAATGATAGAAGAACCCCTCGTAGAGGGTAAAAAATCCCTCGGGTGGATCATCGGCTCGCTCATTTGGAGTTGGAAGTCTCAGTTCAACCCCCTCACTGAAACCAAATCGAGCCTTGAGATCCCGAAGAGAATCCTCCGTGCATAAAGTAGAACCCGGGGGATCAGGTTTCCTAGCCTTCTTGGCTCGTTTTCTCTTCTGCTGACCCTTGGCTGCTCGGACTTTAGCTTGAAGCAACCTAGCCGCCTCGTCAGAATCGTAGTGGACTTCCTCGGCCTTAATAGGAAGTAGAGGCGCCTCGGGGGCGTTTCGCCAGCACGATACTCCGGCTTCACCAACTGCCGGTGGATGGGCCCTCCTTCTACTCAAAATCGCCTCGGGATCATCAGGCAAATCCTGATCCCGAGCCACATTTGCAACCGCGTCTTCCCGAACAACGAAACGGCTCGGGTTTTCTTCCCGTGAAGCCGACTCTGCATCACTCCCACGGTATAACACGATCTGATGGTCCGCCTCGGGGTCGCTCGAGGAACTCCAGACCATCTTTCTCTTGTAGACGGGGAGAAGAGTGTCTCCTCGGGGCGAATCGCTGGAATCAGATAGAGACATTTTCTGGCTCGGGAGATTGAAGAAGTTGATCGGAGGAACAAAGTTTGACAGATCGGGGAAATCAACCTAGATCTAATGACGGTGGCGCTATGACGGAAATATTAACGGAAAAAGTAGAAAATTCAAGAACTCAAGATCAGAGAGAAGAAAACGAACCTTGAAAATTTTCCTTTGCAATTGCGAAATGAAGAAATGAATCGGAGGCTTAACATTTATAGAGATTTGGGGCGCGTCGGGTACGAACGAGCCAAATAAAACACATCGAATCCGCGTCTGAGGCGCGTCGGGCACAAACGAAGTAAGTAAGATACTTCGCATCCGCACGAGTCTCGGGAATCAGCGAAAGGACCTTTCCACTTCTCGAGAAGGAATCCCAACCGTCACACGCCAAGAGAAGATGAAACGATAGAGGAATCCGAATCGCCAAAAACTTTAAAAGGACCGAACTATCCAAAGTAAACGGCTCGGCCTAAATGTCATAAAGCTCATCGAGCTTGGTTCTCCAAACTAACGAGCTGGGGGGCTAACTGTTGGGGTCGGTTTCACCCTTTGGCGCCGAGCCAGACTTAGAACACTTTGGGAGTCTTTCAGAGATTATCTCGGGGCATCGCATCATTCACCTCGGGATATCTGTCTAATCGATTTAGTATACCCGAGCCCATCGCCTCGGGGATACTTAAACAAGACGACGAAAGCACCCGAGCCCAATTGCCTCGGGGGTACCCGAGCCCATCGCCTCGGGGATATCCTGAACAAGACATCAGAAGCACCCGAGCCCAATTGCCTTGGGGGTACCCGAGCCTGGTCGCCTCGGGAGTTTCTGAGCCCATCGCCTCGGGACACCCGAAAGAAGCCATCCTAGAATGCCCGAGCCAGTCCTTCCTGTGTACCCGAGCCGGTTGCACAAGTTCCCCGAGGCGAGGTCTTCATCATCGCCCGAAGCAAAGACTTAGTAAATATTCTTCTTTAAAGGTATCATTTCCAAGCACATTGTCATTTCCGAAAAAGAAGGATCATTTCCGATAAACTCGGAAATGATAAGGAAGAATCGCGAAGGATCAACTCAAATCAGGAAATCTTCCGAAAACTCCGAAGAATAAGGAAATTGTCCTAATCCGCGATATTCTAGCCGACTTCAAGATAAATGGAAATCTTCCGAGAATATCGCTGGAGAGGCGGTTTATCACCTATATATAAAGAGACTCAAGGCTCAAGCAAAGGACAGGCAAGATATATCGCTCTAAAAATTACACTACGCAAAGCTCTCACAGCACAAATACTTTTCCTTTTACGATAAAACTCTTGTACGATCAAAATCATCTTTTCATTAATAATATCAAGAACACCATCTTTGGTATCAATCGTTTCTGTTGTTCTTTGAGAATTCACGATTATCGTATCCCTAAAATAAAACCCTAGACAAATCTTGATTGTGTTAGTTTCGACTTCCACAACAGTCGGTTCTTATTGCCTGCATAGTTAGCACTACAAGAAATATTCACATTGATAGCATCTAAGCATAGCTCATTTTTCGTAACTGCTATGAAAGATTATTTTTTTTATTTTGATTACTATATCATAGCACCGAGAAAACGCTAGGATAAAAAATCACTAAGCGGGAATATGAAATCACTTATTCCGCCAATACTTAGACGAAAAAATTCACTTAACCTCCATATGTTTCAGATCCAAAACATTTTAAGCCAACAAAACTTTCCCTTCTATTCACGACAAAACCTAACAAATATTTACAAAAAAAAAAAAATCTCCCTAATCAAAAGCTAGGTCTCTTCCTTTTCGACTCCGACTCCACCATGAAGCTCGTCGCCGGCCTCAATTCGCGTCGATTCCGTCATTACCCTTCAGCCTCAGCCTCTTTATCTTCGATCTACTCCTCCACCATTCAATCTTCCCACTTCTCTCTCCGATCTCAGATCTCCCTCTCTTTCTTTGATTTGTGACGAACGAGAGCTTAGATTCTCCTCCAATGGCGGTCAACTCCAATCATCGCTTCCTCTCTTTTTCTTCGGTGCTCGTCGGTTTTGCAGTGAAACGGTATGGCTTCTCCTTGAAACCAATGACGAAGCTCTTGGTTAACTAACTCTGCCAGAGGGATTACTTCGAGAAGCACAAATTCAATGACTCTTCTTCTTTGCCTTCATACTCCTTTCAAAATGGTAATCTATCTCAATTGGTTACTTTAGGGTTTTTAGTTTTCTTAAAAAAATTTGGAAATTGGAAGCTTAAAAACCAAAAGGTACTCTTAATTATGAAAGTTTGTGTATGAGCAGGGAATGTGTTTTGGTTTCTCATGTAACGCCTCAATTGAGTTTTTCTGGATCCAAAGATTCTTAATTGTGTTATGGAACGTGTTTAACATAAGCTCACTGCGTTTTCTCTTTTGAATTTTCTTCTCTTTGCGTTTGATTTTTTGAATCAGAATGTTGGTTTAGTGTTAAGAGGTTTTTCCTTTCATATGATTTCCTGATGGGAATATGTGAAGGGAACCGCATACACTAAAGAGAAAGTTGTATATGTTGTATTTGGAGTCAAGCATTTGAAATTCTGTTTGTGTCTTCTCTCTTCAGATTCTTGGGTTTCGTTGTCCTTATTTGCTGCAGCTTCTGTCTTCTTCTCTTCTTTGGATTCCCTTATTTTCTTCAGCATCGGCAACAAGTTAAGGCTCACATGGACTCGCATTTTGGAGTAGAGACTCCTGCGGAGAAGAAGTTAGAGGATGTAATGCCCATTGCAACTGGACATGAGAAGAGGAGCTTGAAGCTGAATTGGAGGTGATTGCTTATGTTTTTCTTTATCTAATGCAATTTAAGATCTGAGTATGATACAATTGTGTTTAATTTGTTTTACTGCAACTCCACTTGCGAACATGACTTTTATTTCATGTTCATTTCTGGTATAACACAATGGTGTATATATCTCTGCTTCATAGTTCTCCAGTTTAAATCTGAGGAGCTTAGGGTTGAAGAGAGTAGTAATACAGCGACGAAAAGGAAAGAAGGTGGTAGAGATGTCGTAGTCGCTGAATCTGAGGAGCTTAGGATTGAAGAGAGTAGTAATACGGTGGAGGAGAGTGAAACTGAAGCATAGAATGAAGAGAAAACAGAGTTGACTATTGAAGAAGACGATGATGATTGGGAAGGAATTGAGAGGAGTGAACTTGAGAAAGCCTTTGCAGCTGCTGGAAAGATCCGGGAAAGTGGAAGAAATTGGTGCTGAAGCTAAGATGGAGTTGTTCGGCCTTCACAAGATTGCCACTGAAGGGTCATGTAGAGAGGCACAGCCCATGGCCGTCATGGTCACTGCTCGTGCCAAATGGTACCATACTTTTCGATGTTTCTACATTCCTTACTCTGCAACTCAGCTTTTGATCTTTTAGTTTCTTGGTAATTGATACTTCTGATGTGAACGTCATAAAAGAGAGAACTTTGTGAGTGTTAGACTTATGAAGATTAGGTGGTTAGGGATACATGTCTATATTGTAGAGTTTTGTAGGTCTATTTTTTTTTTCTTGTTTTTATCTAATGTGAGTTTATTCTGCAAACTAATCTTATTTTTTGAGTTTATTCTGCAAACTAGTTTGTTCGTGTAAGTTATTTCAGGTGTCATTGACGAATCAGGAAAGGCAAAATGAGCAACTGAAAAGAGTAGCTTCGCTACAAGTAAGAAAGCTTCTACAACAAAGGCTTATTCTTTTGTATGATCCAAGACTTTAGGCTATGAAGATTAGTTATTTTATTGTATGTAATACAGGTAATGTATGTTTTGTATAATGAATGTTTTTGATAATTTATGCAATAAAAAAAAATTATATAAATCCAATTGAATAAATATTGCAAAACAGGGATCAAATATGCAAATTATATATAAATCAAATTAAATTTATAAAACAAAAAACAAATGCTACAATACTATATAATACAACATTAAATGTGTGTTACAATAAAGTATATAATAGCATTCGATTAGCACTATAATAGATCGACATTTCATAGCATATCGACAACCGCTATCGTATGTGGGGGTCTATAATAACTGGGGCAGAAACAGCGTTTATGAAAACGCTATTAATGAATTATTATAGCTCTTCTCTCATGCTAATAATGTAGATTTTTCTTGTAGTGTAGATACTGTTAATGGGAATTAGTCTGGGCTAGCTTTGCTTGAGGATTTGTTGCACGGGAGTGAATAAGTCTGTTGTTGAACCTGTTGTCTAGGGATAGCTTCATTGAGAATTGTTAACCATCGGAATTGATTATGGAGTCCACACTATTCGATTACCCCATCCTTAGGAGTTTCTTATCCAATTGATTTATTTGTTTGCTTACCTGCTTCATTCACCTTCTCTGTTACTTGCTATTAAATTTGATAATTGTCTGTTTTTGGACCAGTTTACTCGATCACAGCCTCCCTTCTGGCAGTGAGCCTTGTGATCGAGTATAGCAGTCCATTTCTGCAAATTTACTGTTTTCTGCATCAATCACTAGAACTGTTAGAAAAACAACCAATTCATGATTGGCTTGACTTAGTGCTTTCTGATCATATCTCATTTGTTTGCATCACACCTGATTGGATTGACTCCTAAAATACTACAACGACATGATAGTGCTTTAGGATAATTGATCTTAAAATCCTATTATCAATTTAGCGCCGTTGCCATTTGGGTGTTTGTTTGCTATATTTGAGATCATTAGAAACGTTAAGATCAAGTTCGTTTTTTTTTTACAAGGTTATTAACTCTATGTCTTTCTCCCTGTTTGTGTGTTTCAGGTACTATCTCTGATTACTCTGCTCAGGCTGAGCTGATACCTGTTGCATGCATACTAGATCAAAAGGACATCAGAACCTGCTTTTCAACGAGAACATCGACCGTATTGCTCGTGAGTTAAGAGAACAGACAGGCACAGACGTTATGGCCGACGATCAGAACCCAGAATTGCCAAATAACATTGGTGCAGGCGATGCTCCACGCAATGACAATCAGCGCAATGGCATTGTGCCTCCACCAGTACAGAACAATAACTTCGAGATCAAAAGTGGTCTCATTGCCATGGTTCAGGGCAACAAGTTTCACGGCCTCCCCATGGAGGATCCACTCGATCATCTGGGCGAGTTTGATAGGCTCTACAGCCTAACTAAGATCAATGGAGTCAGTGAGGATGGCTTCAAGTTGCGTTTGTTTCCATTTTCTCTTGGAGACAAAGCCCACCAGTGGGAAAAATCACTTCCTCAAGGCTCCATCACCTCCTGGAATGACTGCAAGAAAGCCTTCCTGACTAAATTCTTCTCCAACTCCAGGACAGCAAGACTCCGGAATGAGATTTCTGGCTTCACTCAGAAGAATGCTGAGACTTTCTGTGAAGCATGGGAGCGTTTCAGAGGATATCAGAATCAATGCCCTCACCACGGTTTCTCCAAAGCCTCACTCATGAGCACTCTCTACAGAGGAGTTCTCCCTAAGATCTGGATGCTCCTGGATACAGCATCTAACGGGAATTTCCTTGAACAAGGTATTTGAAGAAGGATGGGAGCTGGTAGAGAATTTAGCTCAGTCTGATAGAAACTACAATGAAGATTATGACAGAACCATCAGAGGAAGTTCAGACTTAGAGGAGAAGCACCGCAAGGACATGAAGGCCATGAATGACAAGCTGGACAAGCTACTCCTTGTGTAACAGAAGCAAGTCCATTTTCTCTGTGAAGACGAGACGTTCCAAGTCCAGGATGGGGAGACTCTTCAGTCAGAAGAAGTAAGCTATGTGCAAAACCAAGGAGGCTACAACAAGGGCTACAACTACTATAAGCAGAACAATCCCAATCTGTCTTACAGGAGTGCCAATGTTGCAAACCCGCAGGATCAAGTCTACCCTCCACAACAGCAGACCCAACCCAAACCATTCGTCCCATACAACTAAAGTCAAGGGTTTGTTCCTAAGAAACAGTTTCAGGGAGGTTATCAAACACAACATCCACCACCTGGGTTTGTACCATAGCAACAACAAACCTCTAGCACTCCTGACTCAGACCTGAAGCAAATGCTCCAACAGCTTCTTCAAGGACAAGCATCAGGTTCAATGGTGATCGCAAAGAAGCTGGCCGATATGAACAACAAGATAGACTGCAGTTATAACGATCTCAACATCAAGGTAGAGGCACTGACCTCAAAGGTCAGATACATGGAAGGCCAAACTGCATCAACCTCTGCTCCCAAGGTTACAGGACTTTCAGGTAAATCAATCCAGAATCCACAGGAGTATGCTCATGCTATCACGCTCAGAAGCGGTAAAGCATTACCCCCGAGAGAATTTACAGGCTTATTTAGGATGATAGTTGGTACAAGATGGGAGGATTTCTGTCAGAATGAAGATTCACCTGAAAAGGTAACAAAGGAGCCCATACTCGATCCACCTACTCGACCACCAGTGCCTATACTCGATCCATCCACTTCGATCACCAACTCCTACAGCATCTGAATCTGTTGAAAAACCAGCTTCTACCAAAACCAAGGAAAACGTCTTCGTTCCCCCACCCTACAAGCCTCCACTCCCATTTCCTGGTCGGTTTAAGAAGGTTCTGATACAGAAGTACAAGACTCTCCTGGAAAAACAACTCAAAGATCTTGAAGTCACTATACCTCTTGTTGACTGTCTCGCGCTAATACCAGACTCCCATAAATACGTGAAGGATATGATTACTGAGAGAATCAGAGAAGTCCAAGGAATGGTGGTATTAAGTCACGAGTGTAGTGCAATCATCCAGAAGATATCATACCCAAGAAATTGGGAGATCCTGGTTCTTTTACTCTACCTTGCACTCTAGGTCCTTTAGCCTTCAGCAAATGCCTCTGTGATCTAGGTGCATCTGTGAGTCTCATGCCTCTCTCTGTGGCAAAGAGACTTGGTTTCAGCAAGTACAAATCCTGCAACATATCCTTGATTCTGGCTGACAGGTCCATCAGAATACCTCATGGTCTGCTAGAAGACTTACCAGTCATGATAGGCAGAGTCGAAGTACCGACAGACTTCGTGGTTTTGGAGATGGATGAAGAGCCCAAGGACCCCCTAATATTTGGAAGGCCGTTTTTAGCTACAGCTGGAGCTATAATTGACGTCAAGAAGGGGAAAATCGATCTTAACCTTGGAAAAGATCTCAAGATGACCTTTGATATCACCAACACCATGAAGAAGCCTACAATTGAAGGAAAGGTTTTCTGGATTGAAGAGATGGATATGTTAGCTGACGAATTACTAGAAGAACTAGCAGAAGAAGACCATCTACAGAGTGCTCTGACAAGGGATAACAAGGAAGGAGACTTACACATAGAAACTTTGGGGTACCAGAAGATGTTAGACATGTATAAAGAAGCTGAGAATCCAGAGGAGTATGAAGATTTGGTTGGAAAGGTAAAGAAGGAGGATATACTCGATCACGTCACTCGTCAGACAGTCCATCCAGTCTACTCGACCAAAATACTCGATCACATCCTTCCCTCTGATGGCTCTGTCACAGCATCTGATGACTGGTCTGAACTCAAGGCACCCAAGGTGGACCTGAAACTGCTGCCAAAAGGGCTAAGGTACGCTGTCCTCGGACAGAATTCTACTTACCCTGTAATTGTCAGTGATGAGCTGAACACTGATCAAGTCAATCTGCTGTTAACTGAATTGAAAAAATATAAGAGAGCTATAGGATATTCACTAGATGATATCAAGGGGATCTCGCCCAATCTATGTACCCATAGAATTCATTTAGAAAACGAGTCCTACTCTAGCATTGAACCTCATAGAAGATTAAATCCAAACCTGAAAGAAGTGGTAAAAAAGGAGATACTTAAACTATTAGACGCGGGTATAATCTACCCTATAAACTTGGGTATCTCCAGTCCATTGTGTTCCCAAAAAGGGAGGTATGACAGTCATTAAAAATTCTAAAGACGAACTGATACCCACTAGGATCATAACAGGACATAGGATGTGTATCGACTATAGGAAGCTTAATGCAGCCTCTAGGAAAGACCATTTCCCACTACCTTTTATTGACCAAATGCTAGAGAGATTAGCAAACCACCCTTACTATTGTTTTCTAGA